AAATATATGGGACTAGATCAATATAAGAGTTATATGTAATTCTGGCTTCTTTACTGCTATTCCATTGAATGTAGATTGTTACAGGTAAGTTCCCTTAGCAAACTGAAATTGTATTAGAGTGTTTGTGCATTGATGTCTAAAAATGACAGAAACACTGTTTTGAAATTAGAGGTAAAAGAGGTCAGCTTCTTAAATTTCTTGCCTCCTGACACGAGTCTGACTTGGTTTTACTATTTCTGACTCAGCTCTACTGAAGTCCAAGCCATGCACTTCTAGGCAATCTTTTGTGCATATCACAACAGTATGAGTTACTGCTGACACAGCTGTCACTCATATTCTTGAGTGTATTTCTTTCACTCTTTTGCTGATGTCATTATGAAACATACTGCTGGTACAGCCATAAAGCCACTTAATATTCTCTCCATATGATATGACTAACTTATTCTTAAAATATTTCTTGCAAAGAAGATATTAATGATATGTAGAAGGATAATTTATTTAGGTCCTTGTCACAGGTTTTGTAGAGTTAATATACTGGGGTGAGCTACAAAGTAAATCAAGAAACCTACTTAAAATAAAGCAATCAATGATCAGGAAAGTATTTTCAATCTTTATAATCTGAACATAAAGAGTCATAATAATAAAACTTGTTTTTCTTATAAGTAATTATCTAATCAATTATGATGAAGTTTAGTCTTTCTTTTCTTAGTTTAATAGAGAAGCTGTCTGTGTCACTGTAATTGTATCATGAATTTTCATTTCTTAATTATAAAATAATATGAAAAACTAGATTATGTGAAGAAGGGTATGGCAGCAGGATTTGAGGAATACACAACATGCAACGTGCAGATGATACAACCTTTCTTGCTGAAAACAAAGAGGACTAAAATATTTACTTATGAACATCAAAGACCATAGCCTTCCTTCACTATGGATTATATCACTATGTAAAGATTACATCTCAATATAAAGAAAACAAAAATCCTCACAACTGGAATGATAATTAACATCATGATATTGGTAGAAAAGATTGAACTTGTAAAAGATTTCATTTTGCTTGGATCCTCAATCAGTGTCCATGGAAGCAGCAGTCAAGAAATCAAACTATGTATTGCATTAGGCAAATCTTCTGCCTAAGACTTCTTTAAAGCAATCAAGAGCTACAATACCAGTTTGAGGATTAAGGTGCACCTGACCCAAGCCATGGTATTTTCAACAGCCTAATATGTATGTGAAAGTTGGACCATGAAGAAGGAAAGCTATAGAAGAATTGATGCATTTGAGCTTTGATGTTGGAGATTAATACTGAAAGTACGACAGCCAGATCAAACAAATCTGTGTCGGAAGACGTACAGTCAGAATGTTCCTTAAAAGCAAGGATGGCCTGACTTTGTCTCTGTTTGTTGTTGTCTTTTGCGACTCACTGGGAACCTGTATAGGGTTTCTAAGGAAGAGCAGGAAAGTTTGAACTGCCAATCTTGTGGTTCACAGTCCAGTGCTGATCCTACAGAGACACACCAGGAGCATTTGTCTCTATACTTCAGACATATTGTCAGGAGGAACCAGTCCCTGGAGAAGCACATCATGCTAGGTAAAGTGGAGGGTCAATAAAAAAGTGGAAGACCTCCAACAAAATGGACTGACACATTGGCAGTAGCAGTGGGCTCAGATGTAACAATTGTCACATTGGTGTAGGACTGAGCAGTGTTTAGTTCTGTTGTGCACAGGGTCGCTTTGGTCAGACTCAACTCCACAGCATCAAACAACAATTATAAAATATGGATTTATAAGCTATAACATCTTATGTCTTGATATTGGTGTGGTGTTGTAGGATAAGTACTGGACCACAAGGTAGGTTAGAACTGCAAACACTAGTTGCTCCTCAGAAACCCATAAGGTCGCTATGAGTCAAAATTGACAGATGGCACTTAACAACATCAACAACAATCCTGAGTAACACAGGTGTTTGTACATGCATTCCATGGTCTATATTCTATTAAAAGCAAAGTCTCAAATATATTATTTAGACTGCATGTTCATTTTATATATCTCTTACAAAAAAGATTTTTCCAGAAGGTCTATATTTATAACTCAACATGATGGAAATGATGAAGGAATGAAGGAATTTTTTGAAATGATGCAAAGATAATATCTAGTGTATGGACATTGAAATTTAGGCAATATTCCCATAATAAAACCATCAAGGTTGTCAGTTATCACTCATGTAGAGTTCTGTTGATTACTTTTTAATTCTATTTGCATATTCATAATGAGGAATACAAAGAGTTGCTAAATGAGTTAAAAAGGAAAAAAAAAAAAAAGGAAACCTGTATATATAAGTAACATGTCATTGTAAAAAGGACATCTTTTAAGATTAAGACATAATGAAATTGTATCAATTATAACCCACATTATAATGAAAAGTTTAGACAAAGTTAGTTTGAAGTCATCTAAAACCAAAGGTACTTTTGGAAATATTTCAATAACCTTAAACATTTAAGTTATATATTTTCTCATTTGTTAAAAAAAATTCACATAATAATATTGGTTAGCATCAGTGACTTTTCTTTCATTTCTAAAATGTCATTTTAATTGACTTCAAACTCATAATAAAACAGCTCTAGTTTTGTCTTGTTTTTTATGTAAGATTTTTTTAAATGCCTCATACATACAACCCAGCTATCTCTAAGTAAATTTATACATGTAAGCAATTTAAGCACACTACCAGTTTAAACAATTTAAGCAATTTAAACACACTACCTTTTAAAAGTATCAACTATCAACACTCATGGAAGCAGCAGCCAAGAAATCAAACGATGTACTACTGCATTAGGTAAATCTGCTGCACAAGACCTTTTTAAAGTGTTGAAGAGCAAAGATGTCAGCTTGAGGACTAAGGTGTGCCTGACCCAAGCCATGGTATTTTCAATAAACTCATATGCATGTGAAAGCTGAACAGTGAGTAAGGAACACCATAGAAAAATTGATGCTTTGAGTTATGGTGTTGGAGGAGAATATTGAAAATGCCATGGGCTGCCAAAATAACCAACAGATCTTTGTTGGAAGAAGTGTAGCCAGCGTGCCCCTTGGAGGCCAGGATGGCCAAACTTCATCTGTCATACTTCGGACATATTGGCAGGAGGGACCAGGCTCTGGAGAAGGATATCATGTTTGGTAGGGTGGAGGGTCAGAGTAAAAGAGGAAGATCCCCAGAGAGATGGATTGGCCAAGTGGCAGCATCGATGGACTCAAGTGTGGCAACAGTAGTGAGGTTAGCCCAGGATCGGGCAGTGTTTTGTTCTGCTGGTCATAAGGTCGCTATTAATCAGTACCGACTCAATGGCACCTAACAAAAACAACAACAACCTTTTTAAAATGTAGGAATAATGAAAAGAGCATAGTTAAAACATTAAAAAGAATATTATCATTGTGCCATATCCTCTGAGATATGTAAGTTCAAATTATTTCCTCATCAAGAATTATTTGAAATTCGTTGGTAAAGAAATTGCATCATGATTTTCAGATGTCTTCATATTTCACCTTGTCTTCCATTCTCATCACACAATTGGAATAATGGCATACAATTAGATTCTTGTTGTTATTAAGTGCTGTCAAGTGGATTCTGACTCATAGCAACCCTGTATAGAGTTTCCAAGAAGGAGCTAGTGGGTTTGAACAAGGAACCTTTCAGTTAACTTCTCAGTGCTTAGCTTATGGCTCCACACCAGGAATCTGATAACCATATATTAATCATAATTTATAACATAAAAAGATAATAGAAAATCATATTACCTCCTGTAATATATCACAGCTGAAATTTGAACTTTTGTAACTTGGTTAAATTTTGGCACCTCACAATTTTTACATAATACCATTTAAAATAAATTTAAATTTTGAATTCTAAACCAATATGTGCCCAGGTTACAATTTAATAGTACTTTCATTCATATAAGCACATTTAATATAAGCAATATTTATTGTTGCTGCTGTTAAGTGCTGTAGAATCAGTTCCGAACAGAAGCAACCCTGTATAGGGTTTCTGAGGAGCAGTTGGTGAGCTTGAACCACCAACTTTGCAGTTCAAACCACTGTTGCAGTCCAGCGCATTAACCCATAGTATCACACCAGGACTCCAAAATATTCATTAATGAAAGCTTATTTAAAATGAAAATAAAACTTACAAAAGAAGGAATATACAAACTATTATTTTTTTCTTCTGGAAGGTTCTAGAACATCACCACATAGGGACAACAAATGCTATTTCAGGTTCAGATTACAAGTATGTTTCCTAGATTATGGGTATAATTTATACCTTTTTAAAATAAATAAATGAAATTAATGGACTCTTAATGGTGGTGGCGGTTGTGTGCCGTGGAATCGATTCCAATTCATAGTGACCCTGTATAGAGTTTCTGAGGCTATAAATGTTTATAGGATCAGAAAGCCTCATCTTTCTCACATGGAACAGCTGGTAGCTTTAAACTTCTGATTTTCAGGTTAGCAGTCCGACTCGTAACCACTACGCTACCAGAGTCATTTAATTTTAAATCAAATAAATCTATCAATAATGTATTGAATACTTGAGCTATTCTTATTTATTTATTTCATCACATTAAATGTTAAGCTTCATTTCTCTACATATTGTAATATTTTATACATTTAAAACATCACTTATCAATTACTTATCAGTTACTTTCTCTATTTTAAAGTATGTATTGCCTGTATTATAAAATACCACAATTTAAAATATTTCCACTTGGATAAACTGTAGCATTTTGAAATAAACATATAAGAAATCAGACTCTATTTCACTGTTAATAAAAAGTAATTCTGGTGGAACACTACCATTTAAATTTTTGGTTACTTTATTTATAGGATATATAATTTTTTCATGCATCAGTTGATATTTTCAGTAATCTCTGACCTTAACATAAGCCTAAAGCAACATTAGATCACTGTTTCACTGAAAGTGCCATACAATGATAGAAAAATACACTTACCATATTCCAGCCAGGGTAGAGGTAGTCTGTGCCAACAAATTCAAAATAGTGAGCAAAACCTTCCTTCAGCCACACATCTTCCCACCACACAGGAGTTACAAGGTCACCAAACCACTATAGAGATAAAATCAACAGGCACCAGATATAATTAATATTATATGTTACAGAATTATTTTAACTAAAATTAAATGTATTTAACTATAATTATCATAGCTGGAATTTATTCCCTAATTAATTTTGTGATCTTAAAATGTGTTACAGTGATATTATAATGATTAATTCAATAACTTGGGCTAACTAGGTTTTTAAATAAATGTGTTCAGAGGAAAACAAGAAAAATTATCAGGAAACACAAAACGAATACTAAACCTGAAAAACAAAGCACAAAGGAGTTAGAAAAAACAAAAAGAAAACAATGACAGTCTTCTTTAAGGATCTGAAGTCCTATTATGTGGATGAGGAAAAGGCTTGTTTCTTGTGGTTCCACAAGGGACAAACAGGGACTAATGAATGGAAGTTAGGGTTGGTAGATGTCTGCTGAAAATACAGAAAATCCTCTAACAGGCTGAGATGGCTGAAGATGGAAAATACTGCCTCGGGAGATAATGAACAACTCATCACAAGAGGTATTGAAGCATCACCTCTGGTAGCAGGAAATATTCACAGAAGACATCAGCTGATTGATGGAACAAGGCTTTTAAGGTATTTCACACCTGACTCCCCATGATTCTATGATAACGAAGGATTGAGCCATAAAAGCTTTCAGATCCCTTCAAAAATTAATGTAATTTTTAATTGGTGCTTTGATTTGATCATGGTGTATTACTCTGAATTCCTTGCTTAGTTCAGCAAAAGGTTATAGAAAAATTTCTTTATTAAAAAAAGAAGGAAGGAAAGAAAACAGGTCTGCTAAATATATATGCCAGGAACTGTTTGAAAGGTTTTTTTAACTAAATGGTGAAAAGTCAAATAATGTCTTTTTCATGCAGCTGATACTTTATTGGGGGTGGTGTGGAATGAGAAAGACAAAAATAAATAAGGAAGTGAGAAACAACAGTAAAGTATGTTAGAATATGATTGGAGGAAGGGGAGTCACATTAGACGTTCTCTCTAATTCAGTGACATTTGAGCTCAGACATCAGTGATAAGAAGGAGCTAGCCATGAGAAAGCCTTAGGCAAGAGGATTCCAGGCAGATGTAACCATTAGTGCCAAGGCCCTAAGGTAGAAACAGATTGTTTAAAACCAGAAAGTTTCATGTTTCAGGAGTGCAGCAGGTCAGGAGAGCTGAGTGAAGGACATGAGCCAGGTCATGGACAGTCATAATAAAGAGTTTGGTGACTTAGTGTTTCAGCATCCAAAATAAAGTATCACTTGCCAAGAATATAAAATACAAACAAGAGAGCACTCTGAATTAATGGATGACCCCAAAACATAGGTATTTTAAATATTTTTTTTTGGTTATCAAAAATGAAGGCTTCACTTTTTAATTGCTGTTGTTGTTGTTAGGTGCCATTGAGTCAGTACCGACTCATAATGACCCTATGCACAACAGAACGAAACAATGAGCTGTCCTTCACCAACCTCATAATATTTGCTACACTTGAATAAATTGCTGCTGTCACTGTGCCAATCTATCTTATTAGGGGGTTGTTCCTCTTTTTCATTGACTCTCTACTTTATCAAGAATAATTCCCTTCTCCAGGGACTGGACCCTCGTAATAATATGTTTGAAGTGTGAGAGACAAAGTCTGTCCATCCTGGCTTCCAAGGAGCACTCTCACTGCACTTTTTCCAACACAGTTGTTTGGTCTTTTGGCAGTCCATGGCACTTTTAATATTCCCCTCCACTCAAATGCATCAGTTCTTCTATGATCTTCCTTATTCACTGTCCAATGTTCACATGCATATGAGGCTACTAAAAATATCACGGCTTAGATCAGATGCACCATAGTCCTCAAACTGACATCTTTGCTCTTGAACACTTAAAAGAGGTCGTGTGTAGCAAATTTATCTAATGCAATACTTCATTTGATTTTTTGACTGCTGCTTCCATGAATGTTGATGGTTGACCAGAGCAAAATGAAGTCTTTCACAATTTCAGTCTTTTCTCCATTTATCTTGATGCTGTCTATTGGTCCAGAGGTGAGAATTTTTGTTTTCTTTACAATGAGATGCAACCCATTCCAAAGGCTGTGATCTTTGATCTTCATCAGTAAGCATTTTAAGTCCATCTTAAGTTATAGAAATACATATTTAGTGGAGGTGAAGAGTAGCATTGAATATATTGGACAATAATAGTGGAAATTACACAGAGGTTTCTAGTTTCATCACAGTAAACCACATAGCACCACTAAGTTATTTGTTGTTGTCGTTGTTATGTGCTGTGGAGTCGGTTCTGACTCAGAGTGACCCTGTACAGGGTTTCTGAGGCTGTAAATCTTTACAGGAGCAGATAGCCTCATGGTTCTCCCACAGAACAGCTGGTAGTTTCAAACTGTTGACCTTGAGGTTAGCAGCGTGATTTGTATACACTACGCTACCAGAGCTCCTAATATATAGACATGTGGAACATATGAAATACAGTTTGATTAGCTGTGACACATTATCTGTATGATCTTATTTCTACAAAATTATACATCCAGCCTGTCATTAATAAGAACACTCAAATAAAAGTTGCTTTTTCTGCAAAGAACTTTATGTTTAGGGAAAAACCAGTCTTTTTAGCACAAAAGAGAGCCCATGTTATCTGTAGCAACTCCTGTAACTCTCTGAGGGAAAGAGGACCCATACCCAGCATGGCTAGCATGAGGGTTTGTACAAACATCTTTCTGTCACAGGATCACTACAAAAGGTTCCTATTAAGGAAAATGATCATATGGCACTTACTAATTTATCAGTCAGTATTCATTTATTAGCAATGAGCTTTCACTGACAGCAGTTTCCATATCACTCTTTTGTAAGTTTTTCCAGCTTTTTAAAAATGGTTTAAAGTTTATAGCAAATTGAAATCATATTACAGCACAGTAAGATTTCTGGTGTTTTACGATAAAGACTATACATAGCTATAGTAACCAGGACAAGTACCACTTTTTACTAGAATGAACATCTGTCTTTGGTGTGTTTTTTTTCCTTCTTCAATAAACTCAAGATTCAAGTAAGCCTTGTAAAGTCTCTGTAATACCTTCCACTCATTGTAAGAAAGTGTATAAAATCAAAATGAAATTAATTTTATCTTAGCTTCACTACAAAGATGACTCATTTGCATATGAATTTCTAAACATGCCAAGACAAAAAATATCAATCATTTGAGAACAAAGAGTGTATGACTGAGTTAGGGAAAACCTTCCTAAGTGTCTGTGTGATGGGAAAAAGAGAATAGCAAATTGATTTCAGTGAAAGCAAATTTTGACACGTACACAAAATTCAGCTGCATCTTACAGCAATGCAATAAATCATTGCTATCATTGCATTCACCATATATACACAACAATAATCACAAAAAATAAAGCAAGATTGACAAAGAATAGTGATCAGATAGGGTCTCCAAAGAAGTTGCTGGGTAGCAGAGCCATCTCACTCCTCAACTAAACCTAGTGAAAGCTGCTTATTCAATATAATCAGTGTTTATTTTTGTTTATACTGTTATCTGGGGAAAATAACCTATTTTCTAGAAGGAACTACCCAGTGCTCTGTGTATGATTAAAACTTAATTAAGAGGATAATATTTTAGTTCCTAATCCAAGTATCAGAACTCATTCTACATTCTCAATCATTTGTACATTATACTTACACCTGGTCCTTTTCTCATACCTGGTGACATATCTCATGAACAGTGACCATAGTGACATCCAGCAAGTAAGAAATAGATGAAACACTGGGATCCAGTAGTAGTCTTTGTTCCACAAAAATACTTAGTCCCCAGTTCTCCATAGCAGCATACGGATGCTTCGGCACAGCTAAAAGATCTAGAAATAGAATAAAACAGTTCCAAAAGCTTTAATAAAGATAGCAGATTCTAAACGTGTATCCTGAAATAAATCCAGAAATCCTAATTAGAAGGCATAGCTGCTCTATCTTGGTAACTTTCCCCCCTAAATTAAACTACCTGCCATTTCTACCTGACAGCAGAAATAGAGGCTATCACTGTAAATGCTAGTCATATCCATTCATCACAGGCCATTTTCAGCCCCAATGATAGAGGTGGCTGGAAGCATTGGCATCATTACTGATGGGTCCATCCTGATAAGTTGCAGAAAGTCAAGGAAACTCAATGCAACAGAAATCCACAGACTCAAAGGCACTGGCCTCTCTAATGAAAAATAATTTCAACTCAATGCAATGAATACTATACTTTTACTGCTACCTCAATATTCTCCAAGAGAAAACATTTGATATCAGTTTTTAAATGTGAATGTCAGTTTCAAATTGCTTAAATTCTCTTTTATTTTGGAGCTATGTTAAAATTAACCATAATAAATTAATAAAATTTATAGGACAATATATGACAGTGAGTATAGTGAAAAAAAGGACTGCTGAGGCAACACACACACTTTGGTTGTAGTCCTACTACCATTAATTGTACACATGACATTGGTAAATTCTTTAATTTCTCAAGAACTGAATGGGGTTTATGCCTAAATTATATTACCAATTCCTTCCGTATCCAAAAAATCTGTGATAAAGTGATTCTAAGATTTTTATTTACTTTAAAAGCCATGAAGGTATTATCATCAACTTTCTGTTAAGGTGGTACAATAAATTCAAGCTTTTATGTACCCCCTCTGCTCCAAACATACAGACATAATAAATAAAACATAAAAGAGAGGGAAAAAAAAAACAAAAACCCTCCAGGCTCAAAAATAAACCTCTCCATGGACCAGAAATGGCACAGAAATGCAAAGTGGTGACCGCATGTGAAGCCACAGGCTTGCTGGGCTCTGGCTGCAGGGGCAGGCAGTGACAGCTGGGAACTGGATCCAACAGGATCCACTGGAGCCAAGGGAACCTAAGCCAAGCTGATTGCATGATGCCAAGGGCTAGGTAGCATTCACATGTTCATAGAAAAAGGCTGAAAATAGCTGTGTCCATTGTTCTTTGGGAAAGTTAGCAAGTGGCAGGGTAGGGATTTGAACCTGGAATGCTTGGCCCCAGCACCTGTACTCTTAATTACAATTCCATAGTGTTTTAGGTCTCTGGCTCAGAAGTTCATTTCTTCATATAAACCCTAGTGTAACGCCCTAGGAAAATATTACAAGAGTGCCAACTTCAGTATTCATTGTAATCATTAAAATGGAAAACTAATTCTTTCACCAGGATAATGGACAAAGAAACGGCAAAATAATCCTGTGCAGGAACAGAAATAAAACCAAACCCAAGGCCATCAAGTCAATTCAGATACTGACACTGCAGGACAGAGAATAACTGTTCCTCTCTCTGAGACTGTAAATGTTTACGGAAGCAGAGCGGCTGGAGGGTTTGAACCGCTGATCTTGCAGCTAGCCGCCCAACACTTTACTGTACCAACAGGGTTTATCATTTATATA